CTTTTTTTTTTGTTATTATTATTATTATTATTAATAGATATTATATTATAATTTACAGTTGCAGGTGGAGAACTGAAGCCAGTGGAAGGCAATCCACACCGATGTGTATGGAAAGCTTGTTGTTGGCGTATGGCAGATGATGTAAGCTATTGCTATATACAGTTTGTTTTGCTACACACAACAGTTTGATGTCTTCTTACATTTCACTTCGTCACCGCCAGTAATTGTTTTCTACTTACTGCAGAGAGGTCAACATTCACATGGGGTTTTTTTTGTTTACGCTATATTTTTTTTATAGATTAGTACTACTTATACTTAGCAACTTTAACCAGTACCTTTCTACAATAAAGCATCTTTTTCTGTATTTCAGGAGCAGTTCAGTAGATATGAAAGAGCAATTTATGCAACCCTTAGTGGAAATCTAAAGCAGGTATGTTTGCAGGGACACACACAAATGCTTGCCATAGTTAACAGCGGAACATATTTAATCATATATTCACAAACCGTTTAGTTTTTTTAACATTAACTATAAATCTCAAAAGCACCCGAAACACTGTAATCATGTATTTTATTTTTTTTAGTACCTAATATTTTCTAAATGGTCATTTGTTACTAGCTTCTTCCTGTGTGCGATACATGGGAAGATACAGTCTGGGCATATTTCCGTGTGATGGTGGACAGTCTGGTTGAGCAGGATATCAGAGCCTCGCTTGTATCCTCTAGTGAAGAAGATGAACTGCCTAGGGAATACTTGGAAGCACAGTAAGATGACTTGTTTATTTACACATGTTTATTCAGGTTGCCATCCTTGCATTATTATAATATTTTTGTTGTCTTTTAGCTGGACTCTGGACAAAGTCTTTGAGGAGCTTCAGGCCACTGATAAAAAGGTGTGACTGATTAAGTTCCTATTGTGTTGGAACACATTTGGTTTGGGGTGTTGTATAAGCAGGCTTTTTTCCCAAGTAATCTTCCAGGACAGCATCTGAGAGATAGTCTCCTCCCACATGAAACGGGAAACACTTCATACACACCAAATAAAAAGGCGCATAGGACTAGCATGCCTCAGTTATTTGTGTTTCATCGGCCTAACAGGAGCACCGTCATGTTTGTATATGCCTGAGTGCAAGTTGCAGGGGCTTACTGCGCAAGGTATTCCCTTCTTAGGGGCTACCACTACCGCAATCTACAATAAGGTTTGGAAGACTTATTCCTCCTGGGTCCAGCTTAATGACCTGATGGGGAAGCCAGTCCCCATAGCGGTCTTGGAGTTCCTGCAAAAGGGCGCAGACATGAACTTATCCTGCAGTACACTCAAGGTACAAATTTCCGCCCTGTCAGTCTACTTGGAGACCAGACTGGCGGAATAACTGTTAATTCGGAGATTCCTATTGGCCACTGTCAGAAGTAGGCCTCCGGCTGTGAGGAGCTTCCCAACCTGGGACCTGTCAGTGTCCTCCGTGATTTTCTAAAATCTCCCTTCGAGGCTATCGATTCTTGTTCACTTCACCTTCTTACTGTCAAGGCGGCACTGCTAATTGCCATTGTGTCGGCCAGAAGAGTGAGCGAAATCCATGCATTGTCCATAGCAAAGCCTTACTGCACGATACATGATGACAGGATCGTCCTTAAACCCGACCCGGGGTTCTTACCAAAAGTGGTCTCCACTTTTTACCGCGCTCAGGAAGTGGTTATTCCTTCCTTCTATCCTAACCCAGTTACAGAGGAAGAAAAGATGCTGCGGGGCATCGACGTCAGGAGATGTGTTCTGGAGTATCTGGATAGAACCAGCCACTGGCGAAAATCTGATAATCTATTCGTCCTCTTTTCAGTGCCTACGATCATCCAAGAGCACAGTTGCGAGATAGATCAAAATGGCTATATCGGAGGCCTATAGACAGCAGTGATTGATTCCGCCACAGAATTATGATTATACAGGATTTATATAGCGCCAACAGTTTGCACAGCGCTTTACAATATAGGGCAGACATTACAATCACAATACAATTCAAGACAAGATGGTAAGGAGGGACCTGCCCCTGAGGGCTTACAATCTAAAAATGTGACTGCACACTCCACCAGGGCTTGGGCTTCTTCTATGGCTGAACGGGCAAGGGCTACCCCAGATAAAATCTGCAGGCAGCTACCTGGACCAGTTTCCAAACCTTTGTCGGGCACTACCATGTGGACGTGTTTGCCAAGGAGGACCACGATTTTGGTAGAAAGGTGCAAGCAGTTAGCCCACCATAAAACCATGTGAGTATGGGTTCTTGCCTACTCTCTCAGATGCTGTCCTGGAAGATTACTTGGGGAAAAACTGAGTTAGGTACCTGGTAACTCGGTTTGCAGGAATCTTCCAGGACAGCATGGTTCCCCCCCATGGAAATCTATATGATTTAGGTATGCTTATGTGTATCCTTCGGTTCTATTCATTAACTGAGGCATGCTAGTTTTAAGCGCCTTTTTGTTTGGTGTGTATGAAGTGTTTCCTGTTTCAGGTGGGAGGAGACTATCTCTCAGATGCTGTCCTGGAAGTACCTAACTCCAGTTTTTTTTGTTTTTTTTAGAGGGTGTTGGAAGAAAATAAAGAACATTATCACATTATTCAGAAGTATATAATCCTTTGCGATGTGGATGGTAAGTTCCAGAGTGATTCATTTTTCATATACCCAGACTGCTTTCTCATTCGCAATCTCTGCAATGCCTCAGTTTTCTGCTCCTTTTCAAAATGCAATTCCTGACCGTAGCTGAGCCGGCTGGATCAGGCTTTGTGTTGTGGGAAGGGGTTTTGGGGGATCCCCGATTACACATAGTTATGTTGAATGACAAAACTAGAAGGTAAAGTATGTTCTGCATGCCCATGTTAGTAGCTGTCTCTTACAAATGTTTGCGTAGAAGGTTTAGTTCCTAAGGCTTTGCTTTAACCCATAGATACCAGTATCTCATTGGGCTGATCTATGGTTCCTTACTATGCATTGTTGCACACATTTGTCTATATTCTGTTAAAATGAAAAAAAGAGCAAATACTTTTTGAACTAATTCCTAAGTTTGACTTGTGTCACTGAGAAACTTGTTAGGCAATGGATGTTTTGTTATGATTTGCTCATATTTTAGTGTGCACTTTATAAATTGCAGGTTTAATGGATGAGTTCGGCGAGTGGCTTTCAAAAGGGAAAAGGCTTCTTCTAGGTCATCTGCTGCGCTTCATGACACATCTAATATTGTTTTTCCGAACTCTGGGTCTGCACACTAAGGTAAAATCTCCCTTAAAGAGGAAGTCTGACAAGTGTGTGTGTGATTATAGGAAAAATAAGTAAATATATATATATATTTTTATTATGTATTTCATGCCCGCTTATTTTACTTGATGCCAGACATCGTTATGGGACATGTACATGGGCTTCAGACTAGCAGGTCAAATGCAGCTTTCGGAGAAGTGTCTTCTATTTTAGCTGCTTTTGATCTTGCTTTTGATCTTCTTTTGACCTGCTTTTGTAATGCTTCTGAATTGCTTTTGCCTAATTTACATTGACTTGTTTGGAGGAAAAAGTACTTCCGATGCTGCGGTTAGACATGTTGCAGCGGTTAGACATGTTGCATTTTCTTAAAGACAAAATACAGCAAATTAAATGATAAATGCATGTTCGCATTCTCCATGATGTCCTGTTTAAAAAGTAAATCATTGCATATAAACTAGGCCAAATTTACAGAATGTATCAAAACTGTATTTTGAATAGTTATTATTCTTTTTTTTTTTTTGTGGATCTGCATCTAAAGTGTGTACTAATTTTAATATAGGAGGAAGTCTCAGTGGAAGTGCTGAAAACCTACATACAGGTCAGTCTGCTAAGTGCTATAAATTGTCTGATGTTTCACTGTTTTTCTCATAACCTTTCCCTCCTATGCTGTATATACCCAGCATTTACATGCTCCACAATATGCTTCAGAAAAAGAAAATCAAAGTGCTAAGTAACAAGTTGGTAGCAATAAATACAAATAGTCTTAATGAAGAATAAATCAAATTAGTGAGGTTGTCTATATGAAGTACCTTCTCTAGCTTTTTAGTTAACAGTGGATTACACCAGGTAGGGTGGTAAAACTCTGCACATGTTACAAGAAAAAAAGGACAAAAGGCCATTATCAAATGGCAAAATTAATCTGTAATTTTGTCACAATGAAAACCTAGATTTATAACCTTTTTGTAGCGCTACGAAAAGCTTGTTCTCATACTGTTCCTCCAAGTGATGAACATTTCAAACCTTCTTTTTTTTTGTTTTGTTACAATGTTACTGTTCTGTTATAAGCCTTGAAGAAGCAATGTTTTGTAAGAGGCTTTCTGGACTTATGATCGAACACAAACCAAATGTATGTATTTAATATCCAGAAATGTGTTATTAGAAATCTCATTTTCTGTTTTTATTGTTCCTTTTATACTTCAGCGACTTATAAATGACAAGCACATAAAACTGATAGCCTTCTATGTTTGTCACCTTCCCCAAGACCTGGCTATTACACAGTATGCTGCATTTTTGGAGAATATCACAGAGCCAGAACAGCGGCATCAGTGTTTGGAGCTCGCCAAGGAAGCAGGTAATTCTCACTTGTTAAAGCATTTATGATCGACAGTACATTCCACAAATGCTTGAAGTATTAGATGTAAGCATTGCAAGCTAGTTGCAGCGCCACAGTGTTAGTCTCAGCAGCTGTACTCGGTCATACCTGTGGATCTTCTTCACTCCCGCTCTGCTCAGCTATCGGGAGTGAAGAGAGCTGCAAGGCTTGTGTATGATGCTGATGTTGGTCTGGCATTTTCTTTGCAAGCAGCAATTTTCTATAAAGACTGCACACGTGCTAAACGGTCATGTGCGTGTTCTGGTGACAAAGTTAGTCAGAACAACTTTTAACAGCAGAAGTAGTCATTAAAACTGCCAAAAAAGAGAGCACTCATTGAAGCTCAGGGCTCAGAAGGTAACTCTTTAGGAGTATGGAGTCTTGCTGAACTACACAAAACTAAACCAAACTCATTGAGGCTACACAAAACTAGAACATAAATGTTGATATGAAGCAGCTCAATTATTTTTGTATATGTATGTTTTAGGGAACATTACATTTGACTTACAGAAGCATTTGTCTCCGGATATAAGCAAATATGAGATTCACATCTGGAGAATTGGTTACCTACCTCTGTTCTAAAGCACAAGTCATTCCAAAAATGAACACATTTAAAATGTCCTCTGTTTTTGTTTTTGCCAAGAGTACTGCTGTGTAACAAAATTGAGGCATGCTGAGTATAGGAGAGCTTATACTAGGGTTTGGCTTACAATCTGCGAATGGAGAAACTGCAAGTCCCATCAGCCACTGCAGCAGAAGGTTGTTCTCATTGTTGTACAAGTGCAGTGATAGCACCACACATGCAGTCCATTCATTCTTCCTCCTGTCCTTGTTACAAAATGTCCATACCGAGGTATGACAGGGACAGCAAGGGGAATCTGCAGGAGCCAGAGCATTGCACCTGCGATCCACTGATTGCGGGTGCAATTCTTTTCTGGCTCCAAAGCAAAAAACGATAAATACACTTTTTTTTTTATGAAGCGTGCATTTATTTATTTAAGGTGGACATTACTTTTAAGCTGGTTAATGTTTTGTCTGTCATGCTTGCTTAACTTTGTGTATATATTGAAGGTTTGGATGTTGCAACAATAACAAAGACTGTGGTTGAAAACACACGAAAAAAAGATAGCGGTGAATTTACCCATCATGACTTTGCACCTGCCCTGGCTCCTGCCACAAGTGAGGCAAGTATCCATGCTATTAGAATTGTTAATAAACGACTATTTCATTTAGCAGCCTAGTGTGCACAATTTTGGACTTGCCAAGATCACTAAGCAGCTGCAACTAAGGCCCCTTTCACACGGACTGATCAGGAGAGGATCCATGCACAGATCCCCTCCTGATCACAGCGGTACGGAGGAGATATTACCGCTGTGACATCCGTGTCCGTACAGTGTTTCTTGCAATGGAGGAAAAAACTGAAACTGCCGAACCCATGTGTGTCTATGGGGAATCGGAAGTAAACGGACATGTGTCTGTTTACCTAAGAAAACTCCATGCCAGCATGGTCCGGTCTGTCGAAACGGAAGCCTGAGCCGAGGGTAACCGGGTGTAAATGGACTACCCTTAAACTTGCATTGGGCATCCGATCGGGATCAATTTTAGGAATGCAGATAAAGTAAGATTTCTGCACCCTTTTGGATATTGGCGTACGAAAATGTAAATTGGTGTTTTTCGTGACATCAATGCAGTAACTATATTTTCTGTCCCAACTGGATTAAGAGAAGGACCAGTTTGAATTGTTCCAGAATGTTACTGCATCACATTTGTAAGTCAGCTGTGTTTCTGAACCGTGAGATCATTTGAGACATTACATCATAACCCTGAATAATGTTGTGTAGAATATGGTAAGGGAACATAATACCGTATTTTTGATCACACTGCAGACGGGAGGTGCATTTGGGATCCATTGAAATGAATGGCGCCGGGCGAGTAGTTTTTTTGTACATTTTAGCCCTGCTCCTGACAAGCAGAGCTAAATGTATAGTGTGGAGCCGCCGCTCGTTTTAATACAAGTGATCTGCTTAGATCACTTGTATAAAAGGAGCAGCGGCGATCCTGTCTGCATATCTCCATCCTTAGCTGCACATACTTGCATCCCTTTCACTCTCCTTCATTTAGCTGCCAGGAGCAAAGGGAGGAAACCCTGTGTCATAGTCTTGGAGCTTAGACAGGATTGGGGACTCTCTCCTTGCCCCCAATTGACAACTCTTTGCCACTTACCAGTGCTGTAATGTGTGACGAAGGGAAGGAAGTCGCATGCTTCTCCAAACCTTGCGTTTCTCCTAACTCCCAATGACTTTAAGGAGCAGCCAGGATGTTGAGGAGCTACTGCTAGGAGAGGGTTAATTGAACCAGTTGGTTGAGTGTGAGAACTACTGTAAACCTACCTGACTACATACTATTTGCTGAATTTAGTGTCACAGGATTATTTCAGCACTTCATGCCACATGTAAATGAGATTTATTTCCACTAAAATCTATCCATCTTACAGTGACCCCTTACAAAAGGGTTGTGGGTTTCTGTTGGGGGATCGCTTAAAATTGTTGTATACACATATAGATCTGCGCTCCTCATCCATAACCTTATTCCTAATCTGTACTATCCAAACTAAATGTGAAAACATTCTCTGCTGCAGCGTATTTCAGTCATCCACTGTCTTTACCTGTATATTAATCAACAGCGCGTTTATTAATTTGTGCTTCAAAAATAAATGTGTCCTATAAAACTGTATGACCCGATCTATATAGCAATCAGAACTACTATTCTCATCAATCCCCTAAACAACCATGCATAATTACAGTTTTTCAATCACAATCTATATATAAATAAGTCTAACATCAGTGTTGCTTAACCAATAACGACCAATCCACCATGTGCAAATTGTCCAAAGTTGTGATTCACTTCTGTCCCAAATAAAACAGTCTCCAATGTGCTGTTAGTATGCTCCTCTTTTGTTGCATCCACATGCTGAACTCTATTGCCCTCACCAGATGCATATGACCAATTTATTGCCAAACTCTGATTACTGACCCTAATCTTTCTCCCGGCAGGAGGACCGTGCAAAGATTGACGTAATAGATTGGCTGGTGTTTGATCCTGCACAGAGAGCTGAGGCACTGAAGCAGAGCAATGCCATCATCAGGAAATTTTTAGGTAGAAAATATTGTCTGGTGTCTGATATCTATCTGTGACAGCAGAAAGCAATGAGTTGCACATTAAGGCATGATTGAAGGGCAGGGAGATTGCTTTTACCCTTCAATGCCTTTTATAAATTGTGATAGCAAAGTAAACTGCTTAGATTTTTATTCATGCTTCCATGTGTCTGCTTTTCCTTCAATCATGCCGTGTCCTAGAAATGTCTAAATGAGATGAGCTGACTGAAGGTTGGGGCAGTACGTAGCTGTTCTTTCATTAGTTCATAAATTATTGGAATAAGTCCAGCTGCAGGGAAAACTACAGAATCTTATGCCTGTCTTACAAATGTATGAGCTTATATTACTACAATACCTGTATAAGCGAATGTAGCGGTTGGATGTTTCCAAGGCAGATTGAACAATCCTTTTCTATTAATATTTCCTGATTATGTGTTGCCGTTTGTAGCATCCAAGAAACATGATGCGGCAAAAGAAGTATTTTCCAAAATTCCCTCGGATTCTATAGCTGAGATCTACAGCCAATGGGAGGAACAAGGGATGGACAGCATTCTGCCAGCAGAGGATGACAACGCTATACGTGAACACCTGTGTATAAGAGCGTACTTGGTAAGCCATATGTATTATATATATATATATATCTGATTTGTAGTCTGTCCTTCTCCGTGGTAACTAGATGGACAATAGCTTTATATAATAGCAAGTATTGACTGTTTCTCTAAAAACAGCAGCTCCTCCACCCACTTTAAGGCTCAAAAGATAAACCACTCAACAGAGATTGCACTCACTGAAAGTATGTGACCGAGAACAAAGTAAGATCAGTATGTGCTTATAGAGTAGTCTTTTATACTCCGTAAAACTGCAGGGCATCCGTCTCCAACATGGCACCGATCTCTCTGCAATACCATGATCACGGCAGAATTCTGGAACCATTTTCTTGCAAAGCAACGTGCACTCAAGCCATAACGGAGCATTCCACCAGTAAGGAAGAGAAGAGTCCTCCTGCAGTCTGTTTATGGAAATTTCACATAAAATGCTAAATAGTTACCAAGCATCCACTTGGACAAATCAGTGGCAGTGTCTAATGTGGTCCATCAGGTGACTTTATCAGAGGACTCATTTGCGTAGGAAAAACCATTACATAAGTGCATACTTACCTTACGTTACGTTTGGTCGCATCATTTCAGTGAGTGCAATACCTGTTGGGTGGAAGGAAGGTGTGTAACATGGCTTTAGTGATCGTATAACATGATTAGAGCAACCATTTCTTTCTCTAGAAGTATTCATCTGTTTGGGATATGACTTCTAATTATTAAATGAGAGTAGACATCCTGGCAAGATAAGAGCTTCCAATCTGAACAATCGACGTATAACCTTTATAGTACCTGCATTTGAGTATTAACAGAGCTATTGTTATACGTGTGGAGTGAATAAGCTCTTAGCGTTGGAGAAGTAAATAGAAATATGTTTGTCTCATAGGAAGCGCATGAAGTGTTCAATGAGTGGTTCAAGCACATGAACTCGCCTCCTCAGAAACCAACACTGATTGGGCATGCCACCTTCACAGAGAAAGTCGCTTTTGAACACAAAGAAAAGAAATATGAGGTATTATTTTTTTTCCTGTTGCTGGTAAAATGAATGAAAAAAATAGCAAATAAGAGCAGGAAATAAATACAGCATTTGATGGTGGACATTTGTATAAAATGTGTTCTTTAAGTATCAGTATCAGTACGCATTTTGTTATAGTAGTTTCATGGTGTTTATTTCCCTAATGTTTGCTTGAAGAACAACTCCAGGTAAAAATGTGATTAACCCTTGTAGTGGGGCTAAGTGCTTGTTTTTGCCTAGGGTCTAAAATAAAGTAACATTCACCCGATCCTCTAAGCAGGCCGGACGGTATATCCTTCAGTGTCCTCGCGTCCTATACACTGTGTCTAGGACAGGGGTAATGAAACTACAAATCCCATGATGAATCTGTCTCTGGGAGTCATGCCTGTGGCTGTGAGAATCTTGCAATGCCTCATGGGATTTGTAGTTCCACCACAGCTGGAGGGCCAGAGGTTCCCCACCCCTGGTATAGAACATGATGACTTTGGGACTTTAGACTGCTGCAGCGGAGGGAGAGAGAGGCTCCAGGGACCCGTCTAAGAGCAAACTGGCTCAGAGAATCGGGTGAGTATACCTGTAATTTTTCACCCTAGGCAAAAACGAGCACTTAAACCTTACAGTGCCAGGGTAGCCCCCACTGCAAAGGGTTAATACAATTTTTACCAAGAGTTCTGTATTAAATACATTTAACTGTTCATGTCTTTTATACTTTGGATAAAAGCAGAACTGTTTAGTTTGGTAGATGCTGAAACGTTCACCACCTTATGCCTCCCAGAGACTCTGCGCTGAGTTACCTGCGTACCTGTGTTAGTCTTTATACATGGTGAGTGGGAGGGCCAGCGTTGAGCAGGAACACTGGAAACCCTGAGGGGGGATGGGAACAGAACACAGAAATTTGATGGGCATTTTATTACCAGAGTCCATAAGACAAATAAGGAGTCTGCTGGAAAGCCCACCAGACTTCACCTAATACCTAAAATGTTATTTTATCGTCCAATGAAGGACACAGGAATTTAGGAACAGTCAGAGGTTGGGACACTAGCAAACAGAAAAATTGTAAGCCTTTGGTGCGTCCCAGAGCAGAAAAATTAGGGCATGCCGCAGTTTTTTCACATGATCTGGAACTGAACGCTGTGGTGTGAAATAGAGCCCAAAATACCATTGGAATACATTGGATGCATTTCTGATGCGTTCTGTAACTGCTCTGCATCTACTCCACACTTGGTGTGAACAAGCCACAAGGGTTTAAGCACAAGTATCATCCATTGGGTTAGAGTGTTGCATACGTGTTCTGTGCTCTTTCCTACCATTCAGCCTAGAGGGAAAACCATCCTACTGCGGCTCCTGAAACACCACATGGATCTCCTATTTGTTTTCACTGCCTGCCTACAGTGATTTTGTCACCTCCTGTTGCCTGGATCCCTCATTAGTACCAGCTGGCTCGGTTTGTAATTACCGGAGGCATTGTCTCACATCAGGCCTAGTTGCATTATTGCTGTATGGACAAAGGACTGTCCTGCTGCCACGTGTGATCTCCGCCTAAACTGCCCTAGTGGTTCTGGGGGCATTTAACTGGTATCTCTAGGAAAAGCAGAACTTTGGAATCTAGGACCCCTGTTGTCAACGGTTCGTTCTCATCAGAGTCTAATTCAACTCCTTCAGGTTTGGCCAATGCCTCCCCTATGTCCACAGGGAACTCTGCGTCTACTTTGTACTTGCTATCTGCATGTACTGGGGCATTCTGCCTGCACAGGTTCAAAGCGCACTCCGGCTCCATCCCCTTCAGGGTCTGGCTACAAGCATCCTGATATCTCCTAGCTCAAGTTGGCTCTGGGACCCTTTTTACTGCCACTGACTCGGAGTCCCAGTCTCTCTGTGAGACTGTTTTCAGATGATTCGAGCATCGGTAGCCTCAGCCTGCAGCTCCAGGCCTTGGGTCTTTTAGAGCTTCTGCAGCTGCAAAGGACTCCCAATACATCCCTTTTTTTGGATCTTGGAAACATCCTGACAGTTCCTGGGCCCCACCTCAGAGTGTGTTAGAACTTTTCCCTTTTAGTGGGGGATTTATAAATCGGTGGTCCTTCCTCACCGTAGATGCACCTGTGATCAACCTCAACAAGCAGACCACCAAGCAGGTAGACGGCATGCTCACTTTTAGGCATTTTACTGACATTCTGTTAAAATCACTTCCCTGTTTAAAACTGGCGTGGTTCTCTGTCCTGTGTTGTCAGTAACATTATTTGGAAGTCGGAATAGGTGGATTCCCTGGAAGACTAGTCCCTCTTTTTATGGTAATGCCATGTGTGGGCAGAGTGCACGTTTGCCTCAACACAGAGGGTCAGTAGAGTGGGCAGAGGACACCCACCCTGCTGCTTCCTCTACTTCAGTAGTCTTTACACTTAAGCATTTTGACCCTTATTCCCATTCAACCCATAGAACTTGAAGCCAGAGGTCAGCCAATCCCTCTAGTAAGCTGCCAGTGTGAAAGTGAGTCCCCACTTTTACAATTGGGGGGGCTGTTTGTACATCTTTGAGTGAGATATCGAGGATGGTCTTTTTGGACCAAGAGGTTACTGGTGCTGCTAGTCAGCCTCTTAGGGCATCTTCCCCCCTCCCTGGAAGGGCACCACATGTTGGCATGTCCCCATTTGGGGGTCAGTCTGGTTCCCCAAAACAGACCGTTTTCTGCTGTCTTTAAGGGAACAATGATGATTCTGCACCTGGGTTATCCTCATCTGCTTCCTTATTGAAGACAATTGGGAATTAAAAAAGCTTATGAGATCATAAGGAACTTGGCAACCTCTCAAACTGATCTGAAATGTAACTTGAAAGCATGCTGTATTAGCTCATCTGCTCAAGCACTAAAGAAGCTGTTAGGATAGAAACAAAAGAGAAGAAAACTGATAACAAGAACCTGATTCGCAGGGAATGCAGGGAAAATGACCATGCAAGTCTGTTATTGAGTAATTGTCATTTCTACATATTTATGATTTTGTTCCTATTAGGCAGATTATAATACATGGAAGGGTCACCTTGAAATGTTAACTACAGAAGTAAAAGAGAAAATTTACAATGTCTTACTGTTTGTTGATGGCGGCTGGATGGTGGATGTCAGAGATGTAAGTAAACTTTTCTTTTTGTTCCCTTGAAGCATATGTCATAGTGGACAAGTGGGTTTGTTCAGTGTGGTGGTGTTAACAAGATGTATACACACTGACAGTGAGCTCAACACTAATCATGATGGGTTTGGCATATTATCAGGGCTTCAATGAGCCCATCCTCAGTATTTGTGAGTTTACATACATTCACTTAGCCAACTCTAAACAAACAATGAACTTGAAAGTACAGGAGCTTGCACTCCACTTGGGGCTGGATTAGGAATATTTTAGAATTATTTCAAAACAACTGTTTCAATATAAAGAATGATGTGCTATACGTACCACACAGTTACACATTTAGTTTGGTTTCTCCATGATTATATCCCATGGTGCTGTTGTGATATGAGTCAGTGGCACATAAAGGGGGGGGAGTGCTTTCTCATTGCTGTTTGAGCTGCTAAGCTATAAAGACACTGCCGAGTCTATCTTGAGTAAGCCATAGTTTACACTGTCAGTGGGCTGAAAAACAACTGTGCCGCCACTCTGTCCCCACACGGAGTACAATATAATGAAACGTAGAAGTGTTCACAACAGTACAGCATCTCCAAAGAATGATGATTGTGTGCAATCCCCTATAGCAGTGTAAAAACCAAACTTGGCTCCATTTTATATAGTCATTTTGTTGTATCTTTTGTGTGCAATCTGAAGTTTTGCTGTCCTTATTAGGATGCAGAGGAGGATCTGGAACGTAAAAACCAGATGATGTTCCTGCGGAGCCTGTGCTTACCAATGATGACTTTCTTGCTGCACACTGTACTGCATAACACCAAGCAGTACCAGGAATGTCTACGGCTGGCGGATGTGATCTCATCAGAAAACCACAAGCTGTATAAAGTAGGTGCACCCTTTACAATAACTGCATGTTTATGAACATTTACTTTTACTGTGTTTTTGTATATGTTTGTTTAGGACTAAAAATTGAAGCAAACAGACTGAGGATTTCCCCTTCTAGAATTAACTCAGATTCTAATTGCTTCTTAACAAAAGTTGTCAAATGAAAAGAAAAATAAATGAGGAGAGAGCTAATTGGGTTACCAATGGAGTAATAGGAACAAATTGTATTTATTTTTTCTAGCACGTGATCTCTTTTAGAAATGTGGCTTAACACTCTTTCCTGTGTTCTCAGGTATTTTCCAAGACGGAGATGAGGAAGCTACTTCAGAAATGTAGAGAATCATCACTGATGCTGTTGGATATGCAGCTTGATCCTCTGGGTTATGAAATCCAGTCCTAATGTCCCTGTTTGAGAAAAGAGGTGGCAGCAGCTTCTGTGACTGTTCAAACCCAATCTATTTTTCTTGGTTGCTGCAAAATCATTTTTTTTATATTAAAATAAATTTGCTCAGTAAAAATGACCTGTTGTTGTATTTCAGAAACGTTCTTCTTTATGCCAACGTTTAAAGTGAAACAAATATTTTAGCACGCCTACATAGAATGTTTGTATTCGCTGTAAAATCCTTTTCTTGAGGGAAACGCCGAGTAATTAGCTTCAGGTTGCACTGCTGCCTACAGGAGGATAGGACACTGGTAAACAAAAGAACTGTAGGTCAGCCCAGGATAACACCTTCTACTCCCAGCATGCCTCAGCTGTGTATCAAGCAGTACCGAGAGCATGATCATAATGATGAACACCCAAGAAAAAGATTTTGCAGTGAGTACAAAAAATCCAGTGTCTTCCTTGTCTATTGGTTGACACAGGAAGCCAGAGGTTGTTTGCTCAAGCATGACCCTGTCTGTAAAGACTCGGTCTTGTGAGGAGGCCATGTGAGCCGAGCACCAGGCGCTACCTGGTTACTAGTACTGTTGAGCGCTGTTAAATTTTCCACTTTGTCTGTCTTACTGCAGAAGTGGTAATACTAATGGATTGAAAGGGTGGAGTGATGCATGTGCTGCTCTCTATATTCTGACATTCATGATTGAGGAAGCACCTTTCCACTGCTCATCCTTCTGCAAGTAACACTCTTCTGTTCGTCTCTGCTACCCACCTACAATGTCTTGGTCACCTGACCTTACTCCTTCAGGAGTTGGGTTTGTGAGTATCAAAGGCCTTGCTGCATACCCCAAGGATATTGCCTTCCACCTTTTGATGCAACTTTTCTGATTCTACACACATGGCGAACAGTCCCACTGTAGTGGGTGCTGTTGGCTCACATTCCACTGTTTTGGTGCTGCCTACAGTGTGCCCCCTGAGGTATCTAACACCAGACCTAGAATTTTGCCCTCTGCTAGAACCTGTGCTATCTTTGGAGACCGCTTTAGTTTTATCAGGCATGGCCGCTTCCTCCACTCTATCCAGGGAGTGCCAGGCTTTGTGAGCCAAATAGCATTACTGGTTGCTGACCCTGGCTGCAGAGGCCATAAGTAACTTCCTGCATTTTCCCCTGCAGAATCTCTATCTAATCCATCTGCAGTATTAGCGGCCTCAGAGCCTACAGCCACCAATACTTTGATGCCGAGTTTCTCAAGTCCCCTCTTGAGGAGTCTTCTGCCGTTACTCTGGAACTTGGAGAGACCACCTTAAAACCCAAGGAACAGCCCATAGCCTCGATCAGTGCTATACTCCCCTTTATACATATACAGGTGTAATTACACGGCCGGGAGCTTTACATTCATGCGACGCTCGATCGCTTGTATTACCAGCAGTTGTCACTGCCGTTGCCGGTCCCGAGATCCGATGCGGCCGGGACCGGCACGGCTCTGTGACAGGAGATTAAAGGGAGTTCAGTATACGATCTCCTCTCAGTCCCCGAATGCAGGAAGTGATGTAATATAGATCACTTCCTGCATTCACTGTCACTCTCCAGCTACAGAAGCTGATGAAGCCGATCTCTGCTTCATCAGCTTCTCTGGGGGTCCCTAGGTGACATTAGGGGTCTTGGAGACCCCTGATGTTTCCATAAAGAGGACCTGTCATGTAAATTGGCTATTACATAGGGGGCTTCTTAGCCCCCCATGTAATAGCAATAAAGCTGTGTGTAAAAAAAAAAAAAAAGTAATACTAATACTAAATAGTAATACTAAAATTAAAGAAGCATAAAAAAAATTAAGAAAACTTTTCTTTTTTAAGTCCCATACACACGCAGATATGAGTCGGGTGTAAAAACGATGATTGTGCCGCACATGTTAAATATCGCCGCAAACGTCGGAGTGAGAGCAATAAGGCTTGACATGTTTGGTGTCTATTTACCCGCCGTGACCCCGAATTTTATGTTTGACTAAAAATATGGGTAAGAAAAAATGTTTTAACAAAACGTAGGGAAACTTTGTTTTTTTTTACATTTATGGTACTTTTTTCATTATATTATAATCACCCCCCATGGTGATTATATACCTCCAAAAGAAAGCTCTATCTGTTGTAAATTCTATTCCTAAACAAAAATGGCTTTATGCCATAAAGAAATTTACATCAGTTTTTTTTACAGGGGGATTAGAGTCCTAAGAATCAGACATCCGATATTCCTCTATGCAGTAGGGATGTACTGAAAGTTCACATAGGACTCCACTATTCAGGTCAGGCAAGTATGTCTGGGGGTCTTTATGGATTTGTCAGTCCAAAGCGGAGGCAGTTTTACCTGAATGCGTCTCTGGAGACTCACCTTTGTGTTGGGGATTCTTCCCTATATTGTGTCTGAATCTGAGATAGAATTGTCAGAACAGACTGTCATTAGCAGTGCACTTTACAATGGTGCCAGTGATGTCTCTGGTTCCTCCAGTCACAAAGACCTACTCATTTCAGGGCCTCAAAGTATTGATATGGTAACCTGTGCTTGTCAGATATTATTTGGGTAGTTTAGATGTTAAGTCTTTACAGTTTAATGTGTTCCCTTGCAGCTCCACATGCCCTGACACAGATGTTAAGTGCTCTCCCTGTCACTGAGTGACCAGTAGATGATTGCTCTGTCTACGTGTTCTTTAGTGGGTAAGACATTGGCTGGAGTCCTCTTAAAGGCAAGGCCCTCTCATTGCCTTGTTTGCTTGGCCTTCAACTGTCTTACCAGGTTGCCATAGCATGCGCTCCTGCACCAGTAAGAACAATCACAATGCCCTCCATCTCAATCCTGCTAAGCAGCTGAAGAAGCTTCTGGAATAAAAGCCATGGATCAGGGTCTACCGATCCCATGGAGCCACTAGTGAATCCACTGCTTCTGCCAGCAGATCCTGGATGTGGATATAAACCTGTCAAGTTTGTTTTTGAACCTGGAGGTCCAGAGCTGCAGCCCTGCACCTGTGACATAGGTCCTGGAACATGTTTGGGTGCAGAAACCACTCTCCTGGATCTAGACTCAGCAGGCTAAGAAATCTGCCTGCCCAAATTTCCCATCAAGGATGTACAAAATGGGTTTTGCCCAGGACAGGGTTTGCTCAACCTCTTTTGCTGCAGCAAGATTTCTGTCTTCTATGATAGTTGACGCATGCCACAGCTGTGGCATTGTATGACCAAATCAGGAGAGGTCCAAGTACCAGAATGTTTTTTGGGAGACGAGGTACATCCCCTGCACCAACAGGACTGTTCCCCCAGTTAACTTCCCCCACCCAAAAAAACCCAGACTGACTGATCAGTTTCCTACATCAGGATCCTCCACCACATGGAGAGTAGTTACTTCCAGTCACCAGGACAGGGACATTCTTGGTCTTTGGACAGGCTGATTCTTTTGTTGCCAAAGACAGGACCAACTTGCCCCCATAGTGACAGAAATTTTGCATCACAGATTGCATTGCATGGAACTGCCTCTAAAGTGCCACCATTACCCCCAAAGCATCTAAGTTTCTACTGAGGAAGGAATAACCCAGCCTGGGAAGTGTCCAGGACAGGCGCACATTTGGGTTACCTCAAGAGTGTAAGAGGGCCAAAACTGGAGCCAGCATCTTGAACACCCAAGGTTCTGAGGTCAAATGGAAGGATAAACTGCAGCAGGGACTGAGATGATTCCTTGTTCATGAAAAGCCTACAATGGAGATCAGTCAGGTGCTGAGGAGACACCAGAAAGAGCTAAGAAAGGAAGGTGGAGGCAGGGAACAAAACTCAAGCTTGTAACCCTAGGACACCAACTCTTCCACTCAAGCATTGGGCATGCAAGATTTCCAAGCAGCTGCAAAAGGCCAGTAGATGTCCCAGTCTGTGACCAAGGAGGGCTTGTCATGGATTTGGCAGACTTAGAATGTGGGTGGAAGGAGTGCAGTAAAGCAAAAGGGACACATTTGAGAAGTAGTATAGGACTTGCAAGCCTGCTTCTTAGTCTTTTTCTGTTGGGGACAGGGGATGCTCTTACCCATGGAAGCATCCTTAATTACAGCATTCAGTGAAGACCCAAAAGCGACATTGTCCTTCGAAGGTGTTTCAAAGTTACATCACTTCAGCCACAGAGCCCTGCACAAGTGCATTTACAGTAAACCAATGCAAGACAGTAAGCAGGAGGCTTCCAGCAAGCCTTCACAGCTAAGGGGTCTATTCACTAAGCTGCCGTAGGCAGCCGAGTGAATGACCGATCTGAAGTGAGCCGAACACTGTTCGGCTATTCACTTCAGGCTGGTACGGCTGATTTAGCCAATAGTAAACTAGCATTGTACCCGCCCTCTGCTGATGGAGAACTGCAGCAGAGGGCGGGTACAATGCTAGTTTAATATTGGCTATTGCAAATTGAAATAGCCAATAGTAATGTAGCAATGCATTTCAAATGGGGAAATTTTTCTATTTTTTTTCTATTCTGACATCGCTCCGTGTCAGAATAAAGAAAAAAAAAAGACACAACAGTGTTTTTCTCCTTGGCGGCCGGGAGCAGGAGACTCCCGGGGCGCCAGGGAGAGTTAGCTGTTTGGAGATCAGTGTCCCTGGTTAGCAGGTAACCAGGGACGCTGATCTCTCTGCAAGTGGCCGGAGCCAGCCGTAAGATCACGGCTGGCTCCGCCCAGCTGTCAGAAGCAGGCCGAGCGGCGAGCTTCGGCTTTCAGCACGGCTCAGCCAAGCAGATGCATATGCGATCGGCTCGACTGAGCCGTTCTGCCATGTTCAGGAGCTGTACGGGCTATTGTGAATAGCCCGTACAGCACCCCTTCGGTTCTACTGAACCGAAGGTGTCGTGGGGCCGAAGCATCGGCCAGATCCTTCGGCAGCTTCGTGAATAGACCCCTAAGATGTAAAGCCAAAAAGACATTTGCTCCATCAATTAGCTGTAGGGCAAGAATCATGCTTAAGGCCATAGCGGCCTGCCATAAGAAAATACTGCAAGGCATCTGTCCTTAAATATGAAGGTACATCCCGAATTGGAATGGTAAGCACAATAAAAGGTGAGAGATTGCAGGCTCCACATCCAGAACAGACC